TTGATTACTCTGAAGATCTTGTTTAAGCTTAAGTTTTAAGTTTCCTAATTGTTTAGTGGGTACTACAGGAATAAATAAATTGATTTTTCTAAAAAAAAAATTATTTCTGTATTTATATGTGATTTTTAAGTCATTTATCTTATTCTTAATAGTAATAAATTCCTAAAGTGATTGTTAAACTTCTGTAGTTAGAAGAACCTAATATAATTTTCTTGGTTTAAAAAAAGTTCAAAAGGTATACTCAATGTAATTTTAACTTGAAGAAATCATAATTTTTAATTTTGACAACATGTTTGCATGATCCAAAAGAATGATTATGTACTCCAAAGCTGATAAGTAATAAAAAATCATACAAATATTAATATATATGTATTTACACAAAAAATGGAAGGAAATAGAAGTCCATCTTATGGAGTCCTGAGGAGGAAATTAAGAGGTCACAACTTTAATTTTTTCATCAATTAACTCATTAAGGTGTCAGTTCAAAAACTGTCTATTGAATCCCTATTAATTCGTCAAACACTGTGTTCACCGCTAGAGAGGCAATGATGGCGGGGTAAGGGAGTAATAGAGTCCATATTCTTATGGAGTCTGTAGCATATTGCGAAAAACAGAAATTAGTCAAAAAATCACACAAATAAATGTGAAAGGCAAATGTAATTGCTTCAAAGATGAGACACTTGCTGCTGCAAGGATTTATTATATTCAGAATTGACTGGCTTATGGAGTTCAAGGATAAATGCACTAGCCTATAAACTATGCAAGACGAAGTTTATTATGTATTTTATCTGAGTTATTTGTTCACATAGTGCCTAGAACAGGACTGACAAAAATTGGGTATCCAAAGATAGTTGCTGAATGGTTTGAACTAAAGTCTACAGGACGGTGAGAAGTGCAGGGCAGAAGCAAAAAGTATCCCAGGCCAAGGAAAGGGCAGGTGCCAATATTCTGGGTAAGAGGGAGCAGTAAGACATGTTAAGAACTGAAAAGCAGAGAATGAAAAGAAGAGCAGTGTCTATAAAATGAGACCAGAGAAACTGTAGGAACCTGACAAATTTGTTCATGGAGAAGCCATGAATATTTCTGACAGAAAGGTTGGCATGATTCTAAAGGATCAATCTGGAAAATGTGTCAAGACAGAATTGAAAGAGAGCAAAAGTAGATGTACAGAGATCAGTTAGGAAACTATTGTTCATGCTTAGACTAGGGTGATGATATAGATAGAAACAGATATTAAAGAAATTTAGGTGGTAAAATTAATAGAGATTGGCAATGGATTTGTTATGAAGGGTCAATAGTGAAAGATTTCATGGATGACTAACAGGCTTTTGACCAGAGTAACTGGGTGAACAATAATACTAGACACCTGCCTAGGCAGGAAACATAAGCAACAGGCATACACAGGTTGAGTGTGAGGTGCCTCTTTGTAATGCATACAAGGTCTAATACCATGGGTTGATTGAGCAACTATGGAAAGGTAGAGGGGAGGACAAAATCCAACCTAGGGTCCTTAAGGAGGATAAGCTAACAATGAGTTTCACATTATTAAAAAGTCCTTTCTTAAAGAGAAGGGAAAAATATGGGGAAGAGACCTTACATGGCCCACAAAAGCTAAAATGCTTACCTGACTTTTTACTGAAAGTTTGCCAACCCCTGCCCTATACTACCTGGATGCCAGTACCCTCTTGGATATCCCTTCCTATTCTTCTCACTCCAGGCACACTAGCCTTACTGCTGTTCCTTGAACATGTCAAGGAACCTACCCTGGGACCTTCAACTTGGCTTTTCCTTTGTCTAAACAGTCTAACCCAATATCTACATTATTCTCATCACCTAAGTCTAGCTGTAAAGTTTCATCTTCTGTCATCTTTGCAGTGAGGCATATCCTGACTACTTTATTTAAAATTGTAACACTGTTCCAACTCCTTATCTAAGGAAGCATTCCCTTATCCTGCTTTCTTTGCTTCCATAAAACTGACTACCTTCTACTATAGTATTTATTTATTTCATTAGAACATAAGCTCCATGAGAGCAGTGATTTGTTTTGTTCATTGCTATGTGATCAGAGCACAGAACAGTGCCTTACTCATGGAGGCTGTGATATATTTCTTGAATGAATGGATTCATGAATGAATATCAGACAGTTAGATAAACTTGTCTAGAGCTCAAAAATAGAATCTATGAATCTCCATAGAAATTCAAACATTCTGTTGTTACCTATACACCGGCGACACAAATGGGTATCTCTAGGAGACTTCTGTGATTAGCCTAGGGAGAAAAATGTAGAGTGAAAAGACCTTGAACCAAATTTAGAGAAACCCCATCATTAATGGCCAGGTAGAGGAGGATGAGTCTGCAAAAGAAACCAGAAGGAGCAAATCAAGATAGAAAAAGAACCAGGAGAGTTTTTTGAGAAGAAAGCTGAATGTGGATGACAGTTCACATAAGAGGAAGACTGAAAATGTCCATTACATTGAGCGACACAGAGCTTGAGCTTACTGGTGACTTTACCAAGAAGCTACTTAGTCAACTTGCTGAGCCTTACTACACAAGAAGAAAGCCATAAACAAGACACATGGTTTGGGCTTTGTGGACCTAATAGGTTAGTGTGGAATACAGACATTACGTTACATAATTACAAGTATGATGACTACTACTGAAAGAAGAACCAGTGTCCTATGGGACCAAATAAGAGTGAATTAATCTGATCTGAGAGACTGAACAAAACTAATCAACCTATCATTTATTTTTATCATCTTAAAAGAAGGTCCGTCTTTAGTACTTTATTAATAGAAAAGGCTCAAATTAAGTTGGCTATATATAATTTACACTCCCATATGTTCTTCTATGGCTGCTATCTCCTAGAAGAAAATCTCAAGCTTTTAAGGTTTTTTATTTGAATAAACAAAACATGTCTTTAATAACATTTTTTCAGCCTTGAAGAGTAAGAATGAAGCTGCAAAACAACATCTATGCATTCACAATGTCCACTTTTTAAAAAGCTAGTACCTTATTCCATAGTAAAACTGTTAAAACTGGTTAACAGTATGGTAAAACTGAGTGTGATTAAACTGTTAGAATTGCTTTGCCCATATTCTAATTAAGCAGAAACCAAACATCTCCTATAACATAACCGCATATATTAAAGTTTAATGTAAAATCACTAGCTGCTAAAGACCTACTGGATGATAAAGACCTACTCCTAATGATAAAGATGATAAAGACCTACTCCCAATAAGGTTTTATTTACTTCAATGGATATTTAAACATATAGGAATCACATTATACTCGCATACTTGGCAGAATTCTTTGCATAAATTCTTGGTTCAAAGTGCAAAGGAAAAAATACATACATACATGACTCTGAATTTTAGAGACATATCATTACAGGTTATAAAAATGTAATCTGAAATTTTAAAAAAAGGATAGTTACTTTTAGCAAAGAGGTCCAGGGGAAAAAAGAACATAGTCTAGGAGTTCTTCCTAAATATAATGAGAATTGATTATGAGAAAGGGTACAGTGTTGGGGAATTTCTGGGTACTTATAAATGAACACTCTTGGAGCCCTAAATAGTATCACCAGTCTCCTAGTTATTAAGTACCGCTGTCATCTTGCACACTTCACCTTCTAAATGTATGCCAAGTCTTTTCCTTTAAACACTATTGGCCCTCTTCTTCCCTATCTCCAAAACAATACATCCTAGTTCAAGCTTTTTCACCTTACCCCACCAAAGCCCTGAGTTTGAGGTCGGAGAGCTTTGGGTTCTAATCCCAAATCCGCCACTACTCACAGTAACAGCTAAGAGACCTTGGCCAAGCTGCTGAACCTGTCTGGCCTCATTTTCAAAATAAAGAGAATACGTCCCACAATTGCCCTTTTCCAGGTCTCTGCCCAGTACCTTTCCAATTCCCTTCCAATCACAGTCCCTTTTAAGCCTATCCGTCTCGGCTCAAAGACCACTTTCTTCGAAAAGTCTGACAAGCTTTTCATCTTCCAAATGCCTTAATAATGCCTAACCACATTTTTTTCTCTTACAATTCACTTGGCAGGAAACCACGCACCGTCTTGTGATCTTCCATGCACTGCTGACTCAAACTAATTGGATTGTTTTTGTTTTTAACTTTAGGTAGGCCCCCTGAGGACACCGGCTGCATCTCATTTCTTTAAAAAACATTTCCTGAGAGCTTACCCTGGGCCAAGCACTGGGGGTGCAAAGATTGACACAAGGGCCCTTACTCTCACAATCCAGTGAAGACTGACAAAAGTGATTACAGATGAGTGTTAAGAAACGATACAGCATTAAGTACACGTTACTAAGGGTAAGCAGTGGAAGATAACCTGCCCCTGGGGCTCCTGCCCCTGTAGTCTATCTTGGAAGTTTAATGACACAGGCGGGAAAGGGGAAGGAAGGAAAGAGAAGCAGGAAAAAGGAAAGGGAGAGAAAATATTCCAACCATGGCACAGTGGGTTACAGAAAAGAGATACTCTGTAAACAGTATCTAAGATTAACTGTGAATCTCACTTGTCTACATTAGTATGGGAGCCTGGAGAAAGCAATGGGCAATTACGACTGAAAAATTTCTAGTAGCTGATCATGAAAAACACTAAATAATTTCCCTCTAGCAGAAGACTTACCTTACTAACTTGCTCTGTTTAAACCTGGGGCGAGGAATGGGGAGGTGGTAAAGGTTGCACTGGAGAGAATGTTGTGTGGATGGAGAGCCGGCTGAGCGGCGGGACACAAGGCCCCAAAGCGAGGGTGGTGGGCCAGTGACCGCCCGATAGAAAGAGGAAGATTAAGGAGAGCTGCTGGGGGCAGGTGGCGCTGCCCGTGCATCCACAGTAGGGGCTGGCGACGGGGGAGCCACCCACTGGGCCCTATTTGGGCCCGGCGACACCTCCACTTGGGCAATACTGGGGTAACCGAGGGGAAGTTGTTTCCCGAGCTGTAGAAAACCAGGACGTAAAATTGAATCCACCTGAGCCATGTAGGAAGATCAGAGAGGCGCTATGCCTCCCAGTCGGCGACACGATACAGCGCTGCAGAACTGACCCCGACGCAGCCGCCATAGCTGATACCACTGCCAGTCATGCGGCTCCGCCCCAGCGTTGCAGCGCGGGGCCGCGCACGCAAATACGCAGGCACGGGCGGGGGCACGCCCGGGAGTGCGCATGCGCACTGCGGCTGGCCCGCTCTCCGAGGAGCTTTCGATACTTTGGGGTCAAGTTTGAGGCAGTTGTAAGTGTACTGAGTTTAGTTTTGCTAATAATGGTATTCTACGTGTGTCAGCCTCGTATGGACTTCTGTAATGACTAATGGATATGTTTATGCCCTGAGCATTTGCTCTAGGACTTTTAAATGAAATCCCCAAACTCAGGATTACCTTATTTGGAGAAATTATTAGTGTTATTATGTTTAAAATGTAATAGATAGAGCGATATTTTACCTTTCACTTTGGGACTCGCACAGGATGTTTGCAGCTTTTGATACACACGGTAAGGGAAGCGTATAATAATAACTTCGTGTGTCTTATTTTTAATAAATAGTTTACAAAGCAAATCTGATGAGATTCTACCTTATATACCCATTAGAATGGCTCTGTTTTTTTTATTTAAAAAAACAGAAAATAAGTATTGGTGAAGATGTGTAGAAATTAGAAACCTTGTGCATAGCTGATAGGAATGTAAAATGATGTTGCAGCAATAGAAATAATTTGGTGGTTCCTCAACAAGTTAAACATTGACTTAACATATGATCCAGCAGTTGCACTCCTAGGTTTATGCCCAAAAGAGATGAAAGCAGGAACTCAAACAAATACTTGTACTTCAGTGTTCTATAGCAGCATTACTCACAAGTACCAAAAGGTGGAAACAACTCAAATGTTCATCTACAGATGGAGAGATAAAGAAAATGTGCTATGTACATATTGAAATGGAATATTATTCAGCCTGTAAAAGGAATGCGATTCGGATACATGCCACAACATGGATGAACCTTGAAAACATTATACCAAGTGAAATAAGCCAGACACAAAAGGACAAATAATTGTATGATTCCACTTACATGAGATATCTACAATTGGCAAATGCATAGAGACAGAAAGTAGGGTAGAAATTACCAGGGGCTAAGGGAAGAAGGGGGTTGGGAGGTTGTTGTTTAATGAGTACAGAGTTTCTGCTTAGATAGTGAAACATTTTTAGAAATGGACAGTGATGATGGTTGTACAACATTGTTAATAAGTGCCAGTGAACTGTACACTTAGTAAATTTTATATGTATTTTACCACAATTTAAAAAATACTAAAAAATGGAATTATTTCCTTTATGAAAGCCAAAACACAGATATCTTTTAATACTGAAGGCAGTGGTCCCAGCAGGTTGCTCTTTCCTCATGTAAAATTCAACAAAATAACCCAGTAGAAGCTTAAGTGCCATTAAACACTGGCCTTCCATTCATTGTAGTCTGCATCACGTTTAAGCAACTACGACTTATCTTTTATTTGTTCCAGGTAATGTAATCACCCTACTTCCAGGTAACTAAACTGTTTACTATCAAACGTCAGTTGCCAAAATCAGCTCTAAGCTATCATAGTGTTGTATTAATACCAGTGCCATCAACCAGAATGGTCCTACATGCCATTAGTTAACCAGATCGAATAGAGATTCTGAGTCATTTCTCCAAAGCCCGTAGATCTGCAGCTGAGAGTTGTATAAGTGAAATCCCTAAGGAGGACAAATGAGGATAGGCTGAGCTCTGATAGTCAATTCTTAGAAAATGCCTCTGTCTTTTGACCTGCCTTCCCCATGTAAGTTCTAGATAACCTTCCCTAGCCAGGTGAGAAGAGGGCAGTGTTACTAGGAAAGACCACTTGGAGATATGCCAGGGAAGGCTTTGAGTTCTACTCTTAGAACTCCATTTACTACTAGAAAATCTTACTGTACACCACCCCATGCTTTTGAGACAGCAAAAAATCAGAATATAATTATTTAAGAGTAATGATTAATAATAATAAGCAACTAATATTCATGGGATTCAGTAGGTGCCAAAAACTGTCATAAATTAATTCCAATAAAACTCAGTACTATCACTATCTGCTTTTGTCGACGAGGCTCAAAGAGGTAAGAAACCTGGCTCAAAGTCATAGTGCCAGTCAATTGTAGAACCTGGATTCACATGCTGGACTTGCCTCCAGAGCATAGGTTCTTAACTATTACCCACATTAACACAGGAGTGCACAGAAATAAAGCAAGGGCATGTCCCAACTCTTATTTCAAAAACAAAAGTCTGGAATTTGTACTGTGGGCCTTTAGAATCTCTATTAGGTGTTCCTGTTTTTCTTTAGTTTTCCCCAAGTCTCCTGCTATTAGTTCCTGATTTGTTCTTCCAACTATTCTACCAGTTTAAACAGGTAGATATCAGAAGCAACCTTCTGTATTCTGAATTTCACTGAGAACTGCAGCCTTCCCAGATTCATTATTAGAATGAGCCAGATTCTTCCAAACTTAACTCAAGTGCTATTTTATTTCAAGTGATTCAAATGCTTAGCTATTGTTGCTATTCCTTTCATCTTTATTTGTGTATAGGACAAGCAAAGGTTTTAGATTACTATATTTAGAGATCCCATCTGGTAGGCAAACTGTTGAACAAAAATGTTTTGTTCCTTTCATGTTACTATACTACTTTGAAATGTAATTAAGTTTCAGGATGATTATTCGCTTCTTTTGTGGTGGATCTTTTGCCCTATTGAAGGTGGGGGAATATTGTCACTGGAAGATTCCTATTCATGCATTCTTTTACTCTTTGTGTAGCTCCTAATTATTTTTTGTTGCTACTCATTTGCTTTCTGCCAACCTGTATGCCCCTCCTTTTGGTAATTTCAGTTCTAAACTTAAAAAAGCAAGTAGGCTGGGGCGTGGTGGCTCATGCCTGTAATCCCAACACTTTGGGAGGCCGAGGCGAGCAGATCACGAGGTCAGGAGATCGAGACCATCCTGGCTAACACGGTGAAACCCCGTCTCCACTAAAAAAATACAAAAAAATGAGCCAGGCATGGTGGCAGGTGCCTGTAGTCCCAGCTACTCAGGAGGCTGAGGCAGGAGAATGGTGTGAACCCAGGAAGCGGAGCTTGCAGTGAGCCAAGATCGCGCCACTGCACTCTAGCCTGGGTGACAGAGCAATACTCTTGTCTCAAAAAAAACAACAAAAAAGCAAGTAAACGAAATAAAAGAAAAAGAAAAAAGTCTCCTATTTTGCAGGGTTTCAATATCTATTAGGATCTAACGATATAAATGGCAAAGTCGGAGTTTAGTTTACTGTTCTTCAGTGTTTTGAGAAATGCTTTAGGCCACACTTGGTTTTCAAAACAGAAAAACAATTGAAAGTTCAGCCGTTAAGATTAGTATATTTTGCCTGGGTGCAGTGACTCACTGTAATCCCAGCACTTTGGGAGGCCAAGGCAGGCGGTTCACTTCAGGCCAGGAGTTTGAGACCAGCCTGGCCAACATGGCGAAAACCCATCTATACTAAAAATACAAAAAAAAAGTAGCCAGACATTGTGGCGCATGCCTGTAATCCCAGCTACTCGGGCGGCTGAAACACAAAAATTGATTGAACCCTGAGGCAGAGGTTGCAGTGAGCCAAGATCTCGCCACTGAACTCCAGCCTGGGTGACAGAGCAAGACTCTGTCTCAAAAAAGAACAAAAACAACGAACAAGATTAGTATACTTGGGGTTTTCAAATGATAACAGTTAAATGAAGTTGCATTAGTCATGCAGACAGTATACAGTTAACCAATTGTTGTTTGGCTCATTCTTAAGCATCAAGCCATATCCTCTCTATTGGTTAGTTTTCATCTGTTGCATCATTCAGAGACAGAGAGAGAAACACATATATATAAACAATACATACACATTGCACAAAATGCTTCAGCTTTAGGTAATTTAACATTTTTTCATAGATTAACAAAACGATTTCTTTCATACATTCCCCCTGTCCATTCATGAAAGAAAAACTAGAAAAAAACTTAAAAGTCTTGAATTCTTACAAAACAGCAAAACTATACTTTTTAAAAATGAGATTATAAATTTTAGTATAACCATTGCTTCAGTTCTGAGGGCCTTAATCTTTTTCAGTCCAGTCTTTCTAGATACAGATGTGGGTCGTTCCTCTACTTCACCTTACTACTAGATGTGCGTGGTCTCATTCTGTTTTTAGAGCAGATGGGTCACCTGGGGCATTGTGAGATGGACTGAGATGGCATTGGCATTAGGGGTAGGGGAATACATGAGCTCCTCAAACACAGACCAAATGCAGCCTTGGAGAATGGATAGTGATTACTCTGCTGGATTATTAACAGTCAACGTGATACACACCAAAGCAGTGTGTAGGCCCTAGAGGAGGACAGTGAACTTTCCTCCCTTGGGTTCAGGCTACAGGGTCGGTGTTTATGCTTGGACACCAGAACAATGTTCTTTGTGTTGCCATTTGTCTCCTCTTTTCTGGAAAATGGGTCTTCTTCCATTTGAGCACCTCTCATGACCAGTTCTCAAATTCCTAAATTACCCTCTGGAAACACTTCTTATTCAACTTCCACTCAGTGCTTATATGAGTCTCAGGAATCCCTCCTGCAATCTTCATATTTGTCTCTGTACTCTAGAACCTATTAATTTTTTCTTCTGTAACGAATTTTGAGACTTTTAAAATCCAAGGCAAGAATCAACAGCAACTCCTAATCAGGTTTTGGGCCCTTGAGGGCAGGGAAGTTCAAATCCTCCCATGAGATGAGGGGAAGTCGTTGCATTGCATACGTCTATTACAAAGAAAAGAAATGAAAGCCGAAAGAGTAATTTCCCTATGAAAACAGTCTGAATATCTACTGTATATTGCTACATTCTTTTAACAGAAGATAAGATAGGTAGTTATAAAAAATATTGAAGTAACGAAATGATAGGAGTTCCTGTTCCAGCTTTGGGGATGACAAGCTATGTAACATTAGACAGGCCATTTAGTCTCATTGGACATGTTTCTCCAATTGTGAAATAAGGGAGCAGGACTTGATGGAGAAGCCCCAGGTTCTATGATTCTGAGATCCTGAAAGAATTTAAATATGTGACATGTGCCACTCATTTATGAACATACCTCTGATATTTAACTCTGCTTATAAAATAATGGTTCAAAACTCTTAATTGCAGTATATAAACTTTTAGTTAGTAGTATGAGAAAGATCAGCACATGTGCTTCTCCTTCCTCCTTGTATGGCTGAGTTTAGCAGACTTAATCTCGTACTACTCTTTCTGTGATTACTTTTAAAAGCCAGGAATAAAAGTTTAAAAAGACCTTTAAAAAAAGATATTCAGAAAATATGAAGTCAATTTTTGCAATTTGAAAAGTGGAAGTGCACTTTATTCTGAAGTAGACTATTTTCAGGATGTGTCTGTGTATGTGCATATTTCTCTGTGTATATGTATTTATGAATATTTTCTATATATGTATAAT